TCAACATCCCCCCCCACCCCCCCAAGCCCGCCCCCCCCCAAGAATCAAGTCCAAAATCAAGAGCCCGAGTTTACAAACTCGACAAGTCGATTTTGAGGCCTGTTATGATGATCGGACATGACGAAAGTGCTGTAAATACCGAGTTAAATGGATGTTGTCTTAACATGGCTAAGAGCAAGTGTAGTTGGTAGGGGGGGTGCCTCCTACTACTACTACTACTACTACTACTACTCCTACTACTCCTACTACTACTCCTACTCCTACTCCTACTCCTACTCCTACTCCTATTACTACTGCCACGACTGCCACTACTGCCACCACCGCCACAGCCACCGCCACCGCCACCACCACGGCCACCGCCGCCCCCACCACCACCACCACCGCCGCCACCACCACCACGACCACCACCACCACCCACCACCACCCACCACCACCACCACCGCCACGACCACCGCGATTACTTCTCTCCGCTTCGACTTCTTCCATTTCTACTACTGCTAGGTCTCGCTGCCGCCGCGAGGACCACCACCCACACAGCCACCGCTACCACCGCCAGCTAACGACCACGACTTTCGCCATTGCACTTCAGAGCCGTAGTGATGGTCTTGAAGAGAAAAGCCGAGGATGTCGTTCTTGCGCCCTTTGATCCTGGCCTTTGCCGCGGTGCCCTGTCTCGAGGCTGGGTGCGGAGGGGTACAGACTTCGGCTTCAAATCTTTAGACTTTGGGCTTCAGGGCTCCGCCGGATCGTGCTGTGAGCTTCGAAAACTCCATGTCCCTGTGTACGGAACCGTTGCGCATCTTTGCGCTGCTTTTTCCATCGATGCAGCCATGTTGCTCGGCGAGGCGATCGTGTGGAATGGCAAGGATGGCAGTGACTCGAATGTGGTAGCGGCCATCGACCTCAGTAGCATTCCGGATTGCACTGACGACCTGATTGCAGGCTGGCGGTTTGAAGGGCTTGTGCAGAAGGCTTAAGTTCTAAAGCCGCCTAACCCTAAACCCTGGGACGATACAGGTGGCGAGGCGCAGTGCGACTCCCTAAGCAAGGACGAGTGCAAGGGCTACACCCAGTGGGATGATTCAGGAAAGCTCTTCATCCAGTGCAAGCCGAGTGGAGAGAACTGTCTTGCAGAAGGCCCACAATGCAAGAAGCCTCCAAAGAAGAATCACTGGATCAAGCCCAAAGCAGGGGTGGTGTGCACCCAGGCTTGCAAGGACAATGGCTTCACAAAGTGCAACAAGAAGGAGATGGCAAAGATCGACAGTAAGGAAAAGGTCAAGAAGGCAATGAAAGAGGCCGGCTACAGCTGCCGGAGCGTCGGCGGCCACAGAAACTACGCAGGAATTCCCTTCACGACCTTCCGATCCGGAGACGAGTGCTACTATGTCACCCCCGGAACCCAAGCGAGCTCAATCTCTTGTGATCAAAACAAGTACAGCGGCCATGGGCCCCTCTGCTACTGTGAGTAGAGCAGCTTAGAATCTGGAGGAGGGCACAGAAGGCAGTCTCTGCGCTCGGATTCCCTGGAGGGAAAGAGGCCGTTCCAAGCAGTTAGGAGACCCTTCACCTGCTCTGACTATGTGATTCTTATTAGTATTACTAAAGAAAAGGCTGTTGCCAAGCCTGAGATCGGTACAGGGCTTGGCAGCCAAGCAGCACGATGCAAATTCCTCCATCTGTCTCCTTGGGCTTCAGCCCTAACCCCTAATCCTTAACCCCTGAGCCCTAAACCGCAAGTTTAGTGTGTCTACCTGCTGTGGATCTTGGCTCACAGCGGTACCGAACATTTCCACATCCCCGAACCCAACCCGAAGTTCGAAAAGAACCCAGGCCAAGACTCTCAGTTTCAGACCCTTGTTTAGCTTTAAATCATGCACTTAGCAACACAGCCGAGAGCCGTAAACCCCTAACCCCGAAGCCCACGTCCAGCTTGAAAAGAGCCACCACTCGATTGTTATTTCCTGTACCGCAGCCATGTCCCCATCCATGCGATGGGTTGTTGCAATCGTGGCCTTAGCGGTCAGCGCTGACTCCTTCCAGGCTCACAGAATCCCTCGCATTTTATGGGGCTTCTCGGTGTTTTAGCTTCTGATTCCAGGGCTTGGGTGTTTGGCGGGTTTAGCGCTTGAGGGTGTTGGGATTTGCTTGAATGAGGGTTTTGCGCTTCAGCGCTCTAGGGTGCAGTGTTTGTCAAGCCGAAGCAAGGAACCTACAGAAGTACCAATACGATTTGGGGTTCTTTACTAACATAAGTATAGTATATGATTAAACTAGAAGACATGTGACCCGAAAGCATCATTTGCGAAGAGTTTAGCGCCATGTAAAGTCAGAGAGTCAAGTACATAAAGTCATAG